TGTATCCGACATAACATCGGACTCGCTAGCTGCATGGCTACCAATCGGAATATGAGCCTGTATACATAGCTGAACAAATTGTTTACCAACTGAGCCAGAAGGCGCCATGAACAGATTCCGTCTCCAGGTGACCACCTGCTGAGATGACTGGTGCATCTGCCGAGTGCCTTGAAGGTTCGATGGACTTCTCGTTTGCTCTGGATGGCAGTCGACACACTAGTCGTGAGCCTTCAAGTGACAAGTCAAGTCGGCGGAATATCGCGAGCTCTAGTGCATTCTGCTTGTCAGATTGCTGGGGAGAGCCCCTGCACCGCACCTTGCGTGAAGTGCATGATCACGGTCGACCCCCAGAGCATGGCAAACCACACTAGTGTAGGTCTACAAGACATCCCTATTTTTAGAGATGTCCTACTATTACTACTACTACTAGTACATGATCTGATTGTACTTGTCTGACAAGTGACAGCATTCATGATTTCATGTCATCCGTCACACTGAGGAGGAGTGAGGTGCGACCTGGCACTACTGTACTTGGCGTATGATGCTCACGCTTCACTGAGCACTAAAGACGTCCTGGTTTACTAACGAGTGGAAGTACTTCTGCCAAGTGGTCGACACGGCCGGCCCAGGAGAGCACACAATCATGTCCTGGTGCAGCCTTCACTCGAAAACACAAAGAGAAACGTAGATCTACTGTTCTAGTTGTCGACACGGATAAGTAACGCCAGCCAGCAGCAGCAGGAGCAGCAGCATAGAAGAGTTACAATCATGCAGAAAACTCATTGTTAGTAATACCGTCATGTATTAGTATACGCGAGTATTTGCTAGTAGTAGTTCATGTCTGTCAGACTCAGTTGATCACGGAGAGTGTCATGTGGAAAGCCTAGCTTGTAGTGCAGTAGTGGTGTTATGCACAGGTCAGTAGTGGTGTTATGCACAGGTCAGTAGTGGTGTTATGCACAGGTCAGTAGTGGTGTTATGGCGTAGTCTAATGACTAATGTAAGCCTGGAATCATCGTACATGACTGTCATTGACTATTTCTCAAATAATAATATGATTGCATGTAACAGAAGGAGACAACACAAGTAACAACTACACTGATTCTCATTCAACACGACTGCAACAGAGCCACACTGAACGGTAATGGCGTTAAACCGGCCGCACATGAAAGCAGTTATAGTAAGTTTAAAATAGTTACTAGTATACGCAGCGTGGTAACCGGTTAACCAGCCACCGGTTACTATCTACTGTAAAAGCAGAAATTTTCGGTGGTGTTTTATTTTCGGTAACTTCGGTGCCGAAATTTTTACCGAAAATAAAACGCACCCAAAATGCCGGTATAGTCTGTCCCTCCAGGAAATCGCGATTCCACGGACGCAACCAATTTCGCGATTTTGGCCCAAACCCGCGATTTTCTGAAAAATCCGCGATTTCCCGCGTTTTTTGTTGTTTTCTCCACTTCTTTTGACATTTTTCTGCACTTTTCACGCAGTATACAGTGCTTTCCATGATCCTGCTCGTAGGTTATTTCCACAGTACGCAAATAGCGATTCTAAGGATACAACAAATTTCGTGATTTGGCCCAAATCCGCAATTTTCTGCCAATAATTCCGCGAGTTCCTGCCAAGTTCCGCACTTTTCGCCGCATTTTTTGTTGTTTTCTGCCGCAATTTCTTGCGCAAGTTTTCGAGGATTTTTTCCGCAAATTCCCGCAGGGACAGTATACAGTGGTCCCTCTATAATCCGGCACCATTTGTGCCACGAAAATCTGCTGGATTAGGGAGGGTGCTGGATTAACAAATCTGATTTACTGCTGCAATGTACATGAAGAGGACATTTTGGCTACTGAAAATTGTGCTGGTTTATCGAGGGTGCTGGATTATAAAGTGCCGGATTAGAGAGGGACGACTGTAGTACTAGTACACTTACCTAGAACGCGGGTTTACCGAAAATTTCCCTCCGCCGAACCGCCGATTTTGGAGAATACCGAAAATATTACACTACCGAAAATTTCTGCTCGTATGTAGTAGTAGTAGTAATTCTACTACTACTACTACTACTACTACTACTACTACAGTAACTTCTTTATCTACAAATGAACACCATGGGCATGAACACGTACCAGTGCTACTCAGTAGTAGATCTACATGTATCTCAGTGTAGCACCATAAGAAACACGAGTGAAACACTCCAACCCGCGGCGACCGCGTACCGGTAATATTCAGTTACGATTCCCCAACAACACAGCACACGTACATGTACGTGTGCCCGGCCGGGTGGACTCCAACAACACACTGTCGTGTATGTGATCCGCGCAAAAGGCGGCTAAAATTAGTAAAAACGTACGCTCTACCGTGTCGCTGTCTAGAAATACGTCAGTAGTCAGTAGTCAGGAGCACGGAAATGTGCTGAGCAGCACACTTTACCTACTTGTAAACAGCTGTTCTGTTGTAGTTGTAAGTTGTAGAGTCGTGCAACTCACTTACTCAGTCATAGATGCTAGCTAGCTACCGCGTTGGTCTACGCGATAAACTGGCCCTCACATGCACACGGTACAGCGTTGGTCACTGCTAAAAATACTGGCGCTGCTCCGGGCTAGCTTGCGATCTGATCTACAGACGTAACGTCCTGTAGGCGGTAGCTAGCGATGCACAAACACTGAATTCATGAAACAAAGGATTGAAGGAACGGCATATGCGCGACTCACAGATTGCTCCAGATGTGTTGACGACACAAGCAGCTGTGGCGCGTAGCTAGCTAGTCTGACTATGATCTACTCGAGAACTGCATGCACTGATGCAGTCTAGCCCACAACTGGCACTGGCACCAGGTCCACACGTACACCAGTACACAGGCTAGGCTACTGTTCTGTTGAATGCGTGACTGCATGCAACACTGACACTGAGACTGAGACTGAGAGGGGCGAACACCACGCAACTCTCAAACAGTTGACTGCAAGTTTGTTCTGCTTTAGCTGTTTGTACTGTCATGTAGACCACGTTCAGACACAACAAAAATAATTGTTCCACTTCGTGTGGGTTGTTTGGCAAGACCAGTGAGCATTTTCTCATCCTGAACGATAGAGAGTACAGTCTCTACAGAGTAGTCTAGAGGAGAAGGCCTGACACAGTGACAGTGACAGGGCCAAGACCAACAACAGTTACTAGTGAGACGGGTATTTGGTCACCCTTTGAGTAAAATCTGATCCGGCAAAATCTTTTTCTTTTCCAAACCACTGAGGTGGTTGTCGCCTACAGTAGGGGCTATGTAGTGCAAGAGTGAGTGTATAATCGTATCAGGTAGCTTTGGATCCATCCACCAAATCGAACATGTTCTAGTCGATTGACTCATAGGCAGCCTTGCTGAGAGCTAGAACTAGAGCCACTTCAGGCTACGAAGTATTGGTGGTGACGTGGAAAATTGCCCATTTCACAAGCAATGATGCATTGTGATGTGAAGTGGGGATTGTATGAGGAGCGGAGAGCGGAGATATAACAGTGTATACCAACCCGAAATCGGGTTTTCCTTTGCTCGAGATAGCATTTTCACAACGCAGTTTTACTAAAATTTGACAAACAAATTTTCGTAAGGAAAACTGCTCCACACGTGATCCATCAGCTCAAACGCGGGAACTCTAGCTTCTTCTTCACCCTTTTTTCAGCGCATTATAGATCTTATTAGGGAGGGTACCCGGGTGGGACTGTTATATCTCCGCTCTCCGCTCCTCATACAATCCCCACTTCACATCACAATGCATCATTGCTTGTGAAATGGGCAATTGCATATCGGAGCTTCGAGCTTCGATATAACAGTGTATACTTCACAGCGCACGTCAACCGGCCTCCGTGGCAACAGTTATTTATGCACAAATGGCGACTACGAGCGTCAGTGATTATAATTTTGACGCAGCAAACCAGCACACCCAGGCTGGAATATAACACAAGGCCTAACACCAACTAAATGTGTGGCCACATGAAAACCAAAATCTGGAAAAAATATTCATAACCTAGTATGGCGGGACGCTAACACTGGCCGTCCCGAAATTACTTGTAATGCGTACACTACGCAAGTAAACTAACGGATTAGTCCAGAAGGTATGTTTTGCACACAGTCATACCATCATGACGTACACGAACAAGCACACTGTCAGCATTGTTTCAGGGCAGTGTCGATGCTGGCACAGCAGCAGCCAATACTCCAGTTGCGAACTCCTGCTGAATGCGGACTGACGCAGCAGGCCTGGGGTCTCTGAGATAGAAGCGCCGGAACGTAGACTCTTGTTTCCAGCCAACGGCGCGCATGACCTCATCAGCTGACAGGCCAGCGCCTGCAGCCGTCGACGATGCAGCGGCTCGGGTTGAATGTCCTTTGAACACCGACGTGTCAACGCCAGCGGTGGACAACACGGACACAAGCCAACGAGAAATTGTAGCAGCTGATACCGCACGGTGTGGCTTGCGGGCCGAGATGAAGAGCTGCTGAGTCTCTGAGGGTCTCAAAGCCTTTGTGCGTTCCAGGTATGCTTCCAAGTAGACTACAGGGCAAACTGCTTCCACCTGATATCTGGCTACGAAGACTCTCTTCAAGCTGCCAGAGCGCTGTGTCTTAGTTAATGCCAACAATTGCAGTGAGACACCTTCCGGCGACAAACCAATGGAGTCGGCTGACAGATGCCGGAGCTCAGATGCCCTGAAAGCACCTGTTATAGCCAATAGAAAGCACAACTTTAGGGTGTGCTGCTCCAGGGACAGATCCTTCACCGGAGGCCAAGATTGGAGAGTGCCTAGCGGGATTGCCGGGTCCCAGGTAGCCGAATAGCGAGGCGCAGGTGGACGTTGTTGATAGATGCCACGCATCAACCGGGAGACGAGCGGGTGTTGGCCGATCGCGTGGCCGTCCATCGGCTGCAGGGTACTGGACAGTGCAGAGCGGTACACTCCAATGGTCCGGTAGGACTTCCCTGCCGACACTTGGTCCGTAAGGTACTGCAGGACAGTTGCTATGCCGGAAGATGGCGAAACGGGATTAATCTCCCGTTGACGGCACCACTGACACCACAGTGACCAAGCTGAGTCGTAATGTTTCCTCGTTCCTCCACGCCAAGAAGAACTGAGGAGCGACGACACGTCTGCTGAAAGTTGTTGATGCTGCCATATACGCCCGACAGCGGCCAAGCGACTAGGCGCAGCTGTCTCGCTTCCACGAGAGGGTGAACGTCGCCCTGCTCGTTCATGAGTAGACGAGGGTGATGAGGCAGCATTATTGGTTGGTCGACACAGAGGCTCAGTAAGAGGGGAAACCATGGGGCTCCTCTCCACATCGGGGCAACTAACACACACTGAGCTACCTCCTCCCTTTGAATCTTCCTCAGGCACCTCGTCAGGAGACAAAACGGAGGAAACAGGTACGCATTCAGGTCTGACCATGTGAAGCTGAGAGCGTCGGTCCTCCACGAGTGCGGGTCTGGCTTCCAGCTCACAAATCGGGGTAGCTGGGCAGCCGTGCGTGATGCAAACAGATCCACTTCCAGAGGAAAAGCAAGTTGGTTGGCTAGTCTCTGAAAGACTTCCCGGTGGAGTATCCACTGTGCTGCTCTGGTTTGCCGTGACCAAAAGTCGGCTTCCACATTCAATTCGCCTGGCCGGTATTCGGCTCTGATGGTGATGTCTTTCTCCAGGCACCATTGCCACAGTTGTTGGGCTTCGCTGTTCAGCTCCGGGCTGGTGGTTGATCGCATTTTGTTGATGCACCATACAGCCGCCTGGTTGTCGATTTCGATGATCACATGAGCAGACCGAAGGTCCTTCGTGAGCGATTGTAGACCGAAAAAGGCTGCACGTAGTTCCAGGCAGTTGATATGAATGTGCTTCTCCGCCACCGTCCAAAGGCCTGATGCGTGGCGATGACCACAGACTGCTCCCCAGCCGACTGTGGATGCTGCATCCGTCTGCATGACCAGGTCTGGAACTGGCAGAGGAATAGAGCGGCCGTTGACCTCCTCCAGGTGCTGAAGCCACCAAGACAGATCCTCCAGTGCTGCTGCGCATAGCGGGACGGTCTCCTCCCATGGTACTTGCCGGCGTAGGGCTGATGCCCGCACTGATTCCAGGCCGCTCAAATGCAGGTTGGTGGGAAGAATCGCGGGTGCTGCTGAGGACAGCAGTCCCAGGATGCTGGCAAGTCGTCGAACCGTACTCTGTCGCTGGGCAATTAAGCTCCGGCAAGTTGTCAACGTCCGATGGACCTTGTCCGTGGGGAGTTCTAATGTCATGGCTATTGAACTGACCTGGAAGCCCGGAAACTCCACCACTTGTACCGGCTGCAGCTCTGACTTGCTGAAGTTCACCTGGAAGCCCAGGGCCAGCAACAGATGAATGAGATTGGCCACATGCTGCAACGCCTCCTGATATGATCCGGCCATGATCAGAATATCGTCCAGGTACACGACCAGACGTACGCCCTGTTGGCGGAGGCAGGTGATCACCGGGTGAAGGAGCTTGGTGAACTGCCGTGGAGCAGATGCCAGGCCAAACGGGACAGCCGCAAATCGGTACTGCCGACTCTGCCACTGCACCGTCAGGAAGCGACGGAGGGTTGGATGCACTGGCATGGACAGGTATGCGTCGGTTAAGTCCACTTTCACCATAAAATCGTTCTTTATCAATAGCTCCCGCAGCGTGGCGATACCTTCCATTTTGAAATGGTGGTATTGCACAAACTGGTTCAATTCCCGCAGGTCGGCCACTGGGCGCATCTTGCCATTCTTTTTCGGTACGACAAACAGTGGACTGAGAAAGCCAGGTGTACCAGGGGGCACCTCTTCCAGGGCACCCTTCTCTTGCAGTGCCTGTACTTCCTTCGTCACCACTGCGGTCAACTCTGAGGACATCTGCCTGGGGAGTGGCTTCCGCCACTGGACTGGTTTCCGACTGAACTCCAGGCAAAACCCTTGCACATATTGCGTGACTTCTAGGTCTCCGGTCAGCTGACGCCAGCGTCTGGTCTGACCACCAATTCGGCCGCTCGGATGTCCCTGGACCTCCGAGTCGCTCACCCTCCAGTCCAAGCCCCACTCGGGTAGCTGGGTGCATTGACATTGCAGGTCTGGTGGGAGCGCCTGCCAGCACACCTCTGGCAGGAAACGTTTCAGGCATTGTTTGGCTTCGGAGGGCCGTGCTTGTTGCCGGGCTGCTGTTGCGACCGGGGCTGCCACTGCGGCTTCTTGGGGTAATGTGGACGGTGAGGGGCATGGCTTGCGGAGGTCCACCCGTCCCTGCGGGCTCCGCTCCCTCGAAAAAACGGCTCACGGGAAGCCTCTGAAGGCTTGCGGCGTTTGGCGTTGCCGTCCCCCTGATCTTGTCCGAAGCGTGACGACCGTCTGTCTTTCCCAGCCACATGACCATGACTTGGCGGCAGCTTACGCAGTACGTCAGCCCAAGCCTTGTCTGTTTCCGCCTGCTTCGTTATCTGCTCGTTCAGGGCAGGGCCAAATAATGACTCTCCCGGGGTAGCAAACTCTGCAGTGGCCAGGCTGGAGAGCTTGGGGTGGATCTTGGATAAATAAATGGAGCGCCGTTTTATGGTGAGTGCCTGGTTAGCATCTCCCAGGAGACGCAGTGCTGCCGTAGCGGCCTCCCGGATCTGTTGACCTTGCTCACCGAGGCCAGGGTCTTGCGTGTGTTCAAGTATGTCACACAACGGACCCACCACATTCAATAATTTCGCCTGCGTCAGGTACTGAGGCCTATCGGGCCGAGCCTCCGAACGAGGCGGCTTCTTGTCAGCCCCATACACCATGCGGGCGACTTGTGCATCCAAAGCCGGGACTAGTGCTGCTGGAGTGTCAGGGCGAGGGTAGCGCCGGGAAATGGCCTGCCGGGATTTGCGTCGGAGTTCTGAGCGAAGACATGACTCAAGAAACTTAGCAGTTTCGGGCGAGACATGACGGGTAAAACTTTTCTCTTCCTCATCCCCGTCCTCCGCTGGCCAGTCAGTGTTGGGACCCACACCGTCGGACACCAGGCTATGTGTGCTACCGGAGTCCAAATCATCAGCCTCCACACCCGCTAGCGTCGGACCAAGCGGCAGGTGGCTTAATTGCGCCAGATCGCCTGGATCTTCAGGACCACTCGGGTCTGAGGGGAGAGGTCGTAGCCTTGGTGGCCCTCTCGAGGTCGACCGAGCAGCGAGTGGCTGCAGCGTGGGAAAATGTGTCGGGTCGCCCTCAACGGACCCACCACGCGTATGCTCAACACCGGCTCTGGAAGCCTGAGCGGGCTGACTACTGCAGGCAGTAGACCTCGCTAACGAGGAGTCAGCCGATTGGGAAGCAACCGGGATCAGGAGTGGATCAGTTTCCGGGGTACATGTCCCATCCACGATCCGCGAGTCGTGCTCTTGCCCGGACTCCAAATTTCCCACAGGCATGGACGTGTTGTGGCCTTCCAGGGATGCCAAACGCCTCTCCAGTGGGCGCAAGGCATGGTCCAGAGCCTGCTGGACTAGCGAAAAAACATCCTGAGGTGCGGAATCCATACCGAAAACTCAGACAACAGAAAACTTCAACTACACACTTCCTCGAGCAAAGAAAAAAGGTGAAGAAGAAGCTAGAGTTCCCGCGTTTGAGCTGATGGATCACGTGTGGAGCAGTTTTCCTTACGAAAATTTGTTTGTCAAATTTTAGTAAAACTGCGTTTTGAAAATGCTATCTCGAGCAAAGGAAAACCCGATTTCGGGTTGGTATACACTGTTATATCGAAGCTCGAAGCTCCGATATGCAAGTCAGAATGCTAAGTGTGACTAGTGGCCAGCAACGATGGCGTTTCGGCACTTGGGCAATTTTTCTGATTCACCTGCTGTTGTTCGTGTTATATGCTGGGACGTGTACGGCCACGAATGGTAAGAAAATAACTGGTATTAAAGGGGAAGTTAAGGCTAAAATCAAATTTTCACCAGTTGCAGTCTTCGGGGTGCTGAGTCGAATGGTCTTGGTCCGAGGAAGCTGAGACGCTCCATTCCTCCTATATTCCCAATCGAACTCGTACACTTTCACCGAAACTGGGTGACTGCGCCCTACTAGATGGGGATTTTGTATGCAAAATGTCACTAAAAGCGCCATTTCGTTTTTATAAAACTTATAATAAAATCACGGACGACCGTGATTGGCCCATATGTTGTAGTCTTTTGGACGCTGAGTCGACTGCCTTTGGTCCGAGAATGCTGCGACGCAGCGTTCCTTCTTTATTCCCAATCGAACATGGTTGAACAAGCGGCCATGTGCTCCTGCAGTACACCAGTCACGTGGTCACCGTGCCTAGCGGCCCTAGCCTAGCGCATGCAAGGTACAACTTGCAGCCTGTTTGACCTTTTTTTGGAGCACTCCTGTCACTCGAGTTGAACTCGAGTTGAACCTTGGTGTGAAAGTTGTCGCCTGCTGGCGAGGTGTCCAGGTGACTTTTGCATTCAAAGCCATAGCGCGGAAACAAGAAAGAGCATCGATATCAGTTCCTCATGTCCACTACATGGTGTGTTCCAAGCTTGCAAGCACACTCAAATTTGTCTTTGAATTTCGGCTTTCAGCTGCTTGTATAAGCTGTGGCTGAAACAAGCGGAAAAAACGGCTGAGAGTCAGCCAAGCCGCTGAAAGTCGTTTGCAGGACATTTTCGGCTGAATGGCTGAATCGAGCTCGGTGTGACCGCGGCCTAATGTCAATGTCAAACAGATCGTGCAGGAGAAGACTGGGATGTTGGCGTCCAGTGTACAGACACAAGTCACGTTTCCTGCGTCTTTTGCAGCATACAGGATAGACTCAGCACTGTAGAGTCCACTACTTCATGAGTTTTATTACATCTTGTGAGACAGCTATTTTGGTCACCCTTTGAGTAAAATCTAGTCCGGCAAAATCTTTTTCTTGTCCAAACCACGGAGGTGGTTGTCGCCTACAGTAGGGGCTATGTAGTGCAAGAGTCAGTGTGAATCGTATCAGGTAGTTTTGGGTCGGTCCACCAAATCGAACATGTTCTAGTCCATTTACTCATAGGCAGCCTTGCTTTGAGCTAGAACTAGAGCCACGTCAGGCTACGAAGTATTGGTGGTGAAGTGGAAGGGCCCATGCTGACAGTTGTACGTCAAATGCTATGCTAAGTGTGACTAGTGGCCACAACGATTGAGTTTTGACGCGTCGGCATTTTTTTCTGATTCAGCTGCTGTTGTTTGTGCTATATGTGGACACGTGCACGGCCAAGAACGAGAAGAAAGTACCTGGTAGGGCGGCTCTGCATTCTGAGTACTGTAGTGAATTCTAAGTCTGTTTCACAGGGTTTAGTAAATCTTCACGAAAAGTCCGAGATTTACAAAATTTCGGTCAGCGCCGTGCTTCACACCAGATAAATTTCTGAAGAAAAGAAAGAAAGGTAACTCAACCCATCTGTTTTTGCTTCTTGCATAGTCTACTAAAGAAATTATCAAAAAGAAGCAAAGAAAATTGTTAAAAAGTGAAGAAAATATTCTGGTCCATGGCTAGAATGAAAACCACTATAAATGAGTTATGACTAGACCCCTGGTATAGAAAAGCTTACTGATGCAAACACAACCGCTCCCCATGAACTGTTTTGGATATTGAATTCTGTTTTGAACTGAAGCAGCCATGGAGTGCTGGCCGTGCAGACGTGAGCACTGCTGGTCCAGTTTTTACAGTGTTAACATGAACTAAAGTGCGTGTATGGAAGGTGCCGGCCTTGGTCATTCCACCGCATTTCATTGTCCACAGCGATAACTGTTACTTCGCTGGTAAGGGAACAAAAGGTGAGAACAGCAGTATGGGAGGCTATGTATGAAGTGCATGCAGGCTCAGGGGACAGGATGTGCAAGGAGGCAATGTAAGGGAGAGCTTAATCCAAAGGTGTATCCATGACAAATGAGATAGCGCACAAGACCGTCAAGGCCGGGGCGGCTGGGGTCGCCTCACTTTTCCGGCCAATATACATATTTGTTTGGAGCGTACTGCAACAAAGCGCGATGATCGCTGCTCAGCGCAAATAAAAAATAAAAAATAACACAGAATCCTTTCGTAGCGTATTCTTGGTTTGTTGCAGAATTAAAAAGTCTTTCATTGTAGTTAAACTGAAATGGCACCAAATGCCCTGAAATGCTTGCAATTGGTTTCAATGTTTGAAAATTTCCTGTGGGAGAACCCCAGAACCCCCTTCCATGTCCGCCGCCCCACCTCCCAAGTCGGTGCAACGGGCCTGTCACAACAGTAAGTGTGCGGGTAAGAAGTGCAGCTGCAACCATATCTGCACTAAAGCAGACAAGACAAAGGTGGGAATGCAACTGTAACATCAATAGCGATGGGTGCTACACCCACAGCCCCTGTAAAATGTACTTTGAAGTAGCAAATCGCAATATACTTATCTTGGAAATAGTGTCTGGTTTTGAAATGTGGCAGGTCAACAGAGAATCAATTGTTCAACACACTCTGTATGTGTATGTGTTGTACTGTTGCTTTGTGACTGCTGATAAGCGCGTTTACATTCTTCATTTCAATCTTACTGGTGTATATGCAATGTACAAATGTATGCGCTGGGAGGAGGAGCGAGTAAACTCATCCTAGGGAACACAGCGCCCATTCCTTGGACGAGTTATCTCGTCCTCGGTCCTCAAAGGGTTAAGCTTAAAACCTTGACAAACCTCCGCGAGCGGCGACGTTAGTCATGACCGAAAGTGACTGCACGAAAACACTGTCCTGGCTCTCAGCTATGTGAGCCCCTCTTTCAAGCGCTTCCCCTGGCCTAGAGGCGGCCTAAGGAGTGATACCTCAGGCCATCACGAAATGTACAAGTATCTGCAACTTCCAGAAAACGGGGGCTAAAAAATCACAACCACCCCCA